AGTCAGTTAAGCGTCCGAGTTCGGCTCAGGTCATGATCTCACGGTCTGTGAGTTCGAGCCCCACGTCGGGCTCTGTGCTGACAGCTCAGAGCCTGGAGCCTGCTTCAGATTCTGTGTCTCCCTCTCTCTCTGACCCTCCCCCATTCATGCTCTGTCTCTCTCTGTCCCAAAAATAAATAAACATTAAAAAAAAAATTGTAAAAAACCTTAAAAAAAAACCATACCCCTAAGTACTAATGCTTTCTCATAATTGTAAACGTATTTTTTTTTAACATTTATTTATTACTGAGAGAGAGAAAGCATGAGCATGGGAGGGGCAGAGAGAGGAGGAGACACAGAATCTGAAGGAGGCTCCAGGCTCTGGACTGTCAGCACAGAGCCTGACGCAGGGCTCGAACCCGCAAACCCAGGGAGATCATGACCTGAGCCGAAGTCAGATGCTTAACCGACTGAGCCACCCAGGCGCCCCAATTGTAAACATATTTTTAATTTCATTTTTTAATTGTTTATGCCTAGTATATAAAAATATAAATTATTTATGTATATTGACTTTATATCCTGAAAAGTGTGTTAAATGAACTTTTAACTCCAGTAGCTTTCTTACAGTTTCCTAAGATTTTCTATATTTACTCATTCATGGTTATGTTGTCTATGAAGAAAGACAGTTTTACCTCTTCTTCTCCAATAATTTATTTCCTTATTTCGGTGGGTACTACATCTTTAGTATAGTATTGAACGGAAGTGGTCAGAAAAGACATCCTTGCTTTTTCTCATCTCAGTGGGAAAGTGTTCAGTTTTTCATCAAGTGTAATGTTAACTGCAGATTGCTCAAAAATGTCCTTTTATTGAGGTGTTTCCCTTCTATTTCTACCTTTTCTAAGAATTTTCTTATATAAACATGTACAGGGGTTGCATTTTGTCACAGGCTTTTCCTGTATCTAGTGGGATAATCATATGCTTTTACAAATATTTTGTTAAGATGGTGAACTACATTTACTATTTTCTTCCCTCTACTTAACTGAGGTGTAATTTGTTCTTGAAACTTTTTAAAGAGGAAACATATAAAGCAATTGGTTTAAACGTTTTTTTCTTTTCTAATTATAAGCTTTTTTTTTAAGCTATAAACCTCCTCCTTGCGCTGTTGTAGCTGAATCCCACAAATTTTGATGTTTTCATTACCATTCAGTTCAAAATATTTTCCCATTTCTCTTACGATTTCTTCTTAAATCCATGCATTAAGAAAAGCTGATAATTTCCAAATATTAGGAAATTTTCTAGATATATTTTCATCATAAATTTCAACTTAATTCTGCTTTGTCAAGTAACAGTCTGCATGATATCTCAATCCTTTTACATTTACTGAAACTTACTTTGTGGCCCTACACATCCTGGACAAATGCTCCATGTGTACTTAAAAAGAATTATATTCTGCTGTTGCTACACGTCACATTATAGCTTTAGATATCAATTAGGTCAAACTGGTTGATACTGTTGTTCACATTAGAAAATGTCCTGTGTCCTTACTGATTTTCCTGTTGCTTATTTTATTAGCTACTAAGAAAGGAACACTAAAATCTCTAAATACAACTGTGAATCTGTCTAGAGTTTTGTCATTTTTTGTTTTATGTTCTCTGAACTCTGTTACTAGGTACATAAACATTTAGGACTGATAGGCCTTCTTGATGAACATGTATGTTTAATCGTTACTCTTGTTAATAACACTTGACATTTGCTTTGCCTGATATTAATATGAGCACTCAGGTTTTATGATTATTATTTGCATGTATATCTTTCCCCATGCTTTTAACATGCCAGTCTATAGTTGTTTTGACATTGCTGGTGTTTATTTCTCCTTTTATCTTTTTATCCAAGAGGGAAGGCACAGATCGTAAATGTATGTCTCCACGAAATGTTTTCAAGCTGCACACACCCATGTAATCCAGCCCGGATCAAGACACGGAACATTCTCAGCAATGTTCCTCATGTCCACTCCTGCTCATCCCCACCCCTCCAAGGAAAACCGCTGACTGACTTCCAACCTCAGAGGTTCAAACTTGAAGTTTCTAAAACATTTGAGTTTCTGGTATTTATAAATCAGGAAATCTGCATTTCTGACATCCTTTGAGAAATTAGATATGGCCACCCTGGTGTATGTCCCCTTGAGGCGGCAGCAGCCTGCTAACATAGGAGCAGCTGTCCTGAGAGTGTGGTCTCTGTAGGCCTACCTGGGTCACCTCCTTGTTTGCTCACCTGCCTGGCACATTTATTTACATCTTTCTATTTAAAGTGTGTTTCTTGTGGAAAGAATATAATTGGACCTTGCTTTATTATTCAGTCTGACAATCTGCTTTTTATCTGAAGGGTTTAGGTCATTTATACGCAACTATCCATATGGTTGGGTTTAAGTTTACCATCTTGCTATTTGTCTTTATCCCATCTTTTCTTTGTTGTCCCCCCCACCTCTTTTCCTATCTTCTCTTAGATTGAATTTTCTTCCATTTTATCTCCACTCCACCTATTGTCTTATTACTGATATGTCAACACTTTTGTGTGTTTAGGGTTTATAATAGACATCTTTAAGATATAATATTCTACCTTCAAACAATACTACACCTATTCATGTATAATGGGTACTAAACTTATTCATGTCTATTACACAGAAAACTTTCAACAATGTATGTCCATTTTCCTTACTTAACCTTATTGTATTGTTTTCATACATTTCACCACTTCCACATGCATAATCCTCACAATATGTTATTATTTATGTTTTAAATAGCCAGTTATAACTCTCAGATAACATTTACTCAGTGGAAAACAAGACAAGGATATCTGCTTTCACCACTGCTGTACAATATAGTATTGGAAGTTCTAACCAGAGGATTTAGACATGAAAAAGAAATAAAAGAGACAAACTGGAGAGGAAGAAGTAAAATTACATCAGTTCACAAATGACATAATTTTATATGTAGAAAACCCTGAAAATTCCACACCAAAAAAACCCCAAAAAACTGTTAGAGCTAACAAAATTCAACTGAGTTGTAGGATACAAAATTAATACCTTCAAATCAGTCGTATTTCTATATACTAGCAATGAACAATCTGAAAATAAACTTAACAATTCCATTTACAATAACATCAAAAATAATAAAATAGGAATAAATCAAACCAAAGGGGTAAAAGACTTGTACGTTCCTATACCTAGTCAATGAAATGTTGATGATAGAAATTAAAAAGAAAATAAATAAATGAAAAGACATTGCATGTTCATGGACTGGAAAACAATTTTGTTAAGACGATAACACTACTCAAAGCAATGTATAGATTTAATGCAATCCCTATAAAAATCCCAGTGGCATTTTCAGAAACAACAACAAAAAAAATCCATCCTAAAAATTCATATACAATCTCAGAGGTCCCCAAATAACCAAAACAATCTTGGAGGACTTTCAACACTTACTACAAATTTACTAGAGTAATCAAAACAGGGTGTTACTGGCATAAAGACAGACATATAGAAAAACAGACTAGAGTAGCTCAGAAATAAACCTTCACATATATGGTCAAATGACTTTTTATAAGGGTGCCAAGATCACTCAATAGGGAAAGGATAGTCTTTTCAACAAACAGTGCTGAGAAAACTAGATACCCACATGTAAAACTAGATATGCAACTTCCAATGAAGCTGGGATCTTACCTTATGCCACATACAGAATTAACTCCACCTGGCTCAAATACAAAACTGTAAAAGCTGAAAATATAAAACTCTTAGAAGAAAGCACATGGGGAAGGCTTCATGACATGGATTTTGCAATGATTTTTTGGATCTGACAATCAAAAGCTAGGAAACAAAAGAAAAATAAACTGCACTTTTATCAAAATTTAAAAAAATTTGTGTATCAAAGGATATCATCAAGAAAGTGTAAAGACAAAAAAAAGTGAAAAGAAAGTCTACAGAATGGGAGAAAATACTTGAAAATCTTATATCTGATAGGGATTAATATTAATATTAATCTAATAGAGTCTCTAGCCCTAATTTCCAATTTACAGAAAAACAGAGGATAGAGGAACAGGTTAAACATTAGCCTGAGTAAAAAAAAAACAGACAAATCTAGAACAAGAGATATCCTAAAAGATGTCCTAAAAGATATCCTAAAAGCCTACTGGCTTAGTAAGGGTATTGTGCAAGATTAAAGAAAAGAGACAACAACAAAAAATGCATGATTCTTGGATTGTGATTAGGGAGCAAGGAGTGAGCTTTAAAAGACATTCTTAAGATAACTGGGAAAATATGAGTCCCTATATTATGCAAGAAAATGCACGCATACTTCAGAAATGCATACTGATACAGTTAAAAGTAAAGTGTTATGATGTCTGAAACTTAGTGTTAAATAGTTCTGTCCCCCCAAAAATAAGACAGAAAACATGACAATGTAAACAACTGTCAAATTTCAATGGAAGGTATGGTGTATGAGTGATTACTGTACTATACCTTCCTCTTTTCTGTAAATTTGAAAATTTTCAAAATGAAAAGTTTAGGGTAAAAAGCCTTTAGGCCACTAAATTGCACAACTTAAAATGGTTAAGACAGTGAATTTCATATAATGGGATTTTTATCTCACAACAAAACCCTATCCCCCTGCCCTCCCCACCAAAAACAAACAAACAAACAAACAAACAAACCCAGAGCTTGGGTATCTGACACTGTATTGGAGAAGTATCCTGCACAGCCCCATTCTCATAGACCATGATGTGAACGGTGTCCCCTGGAGTTATGTAGTGGTCTTATTTTGAAATAGAGTTAGAAAGAAACACAGAATCTTTATACGGAATTAAAATAAAATTAGGATAAGATATATTGTATGATAAAATTACTTTTATAATTTGTTATTATTAATTTTAGAATGCAGAGGAGGAAGCAAGGCATGATGATCTGGCCCCAAATCAAGCACAACTGGTTAAGAATAAAATGCCCAAAGCAAACCAAACTGGCCCCACACCTGGGTTGATGGATGGAGGAGGTGGAGGTGGGAGAGGTCGGCCTTCTTTAACGGCTAGTGTAGACTGCTTGGCTGAACGGATTGCATTAATGAAATCTTCATGCTGTTGTCTCCAGTTAGATCTCCTCACAGGTTGATGCTATAAAAAAGAAAACCAATATATACTAACCTCGACTGTACATCTGTCCCTTGCAACTTTATTTTAAGCTGGGATTTAAATTTACAGGACATAGGACTGTGAAATTTGGAGGGAAAAGAAAATTTGTTTTCAAGAGTACAAAAAGAGATTTGGAAAAATACAGTAATAAAATTTGCAAGTCACAACAGTGTGGGAAAACACAAAATAACAATCAGAAAAACAAACGACAACACTTTACAGAAAGACTTAACTGTAAGATGAAAAGGGACTTTCTTCCAAGTTAATTGCGAGATTTAATGCTACACTAATGAAAACATAAACGAGATTCTTTTTTGCCACATCTGGAAAGTATCTGAAATACATTTCGGAATCTAAGTGAGCATGATTAAAAAGAAAACAGTAAAGGTGGATTATACTTACATGACATTACACTGCACTATCAAGCAAAAATGAAACCAGAGAGCCAAAAAGGGGCTTTAATGTACTTAAGGATGTAATCAAGAAGAACAAGCACGATACTGATAGTACCTTGGACTGAGGAGCTGTTCTCACAATGAGAATGTCAGTGCCCTGTAATCTTTGTTTCAGGGAATTGAAAGGTTTACGCTTTTTGTTGAAGAGTTTCCTACATATTGGTCCATGTCTTTCCTAGAAAAGAAACAGTGGGGATTAAAATTTTTAACATGTATAGTCACAAGGTTTGTACTCAGGCAGCCCCCACTAGAATGACGGGGTTCACCTTCGGAGCCAAGTTCATTCTCTAACTCTCAAATCACAGCAGAGCAAATCCATCTGGCTCTCTCCACCCATGTTACACATCACTAGATATTGCGTGAGGGCAAGGTCAAGAAAAGGCCTCCACAGCACAGAGACTTATTTCGAATTTGGTTTTATACACTGAACTCTACCACTTGGGCTGCGTGAATGATTCCAGGCATTAAATAACGTTGAGAAGGCAAACATTCTAGTTTAAATTGAAATAAATATTTTTGATATTGAGCTAGGTACTCACTGAAGCCAAGGAAATTTTCCTGTCTCCTGTTTCCTGCCTCCATGGTTTCCAAATTCCACGAGCAAGGCATCCAGTAACATACAGGGAATCTGAGTCCCAGCAATCCTAATATTCCATTTTACCATTCTTTTGAGATAGCCCTTTGCATACAGCAGGGGGAAACTTAGCTCCTACCGATGGAACCTTCTCAAGAAAACTCTTCTTACCACTCAGCAATTTCAAAATTGAATTCAACGGGGCCACTTTTCTACATAGAGCACGTTAAACTACTTAACTTCCTCAAGGAGTGGAGAGGTTTCAAAGAAATATTTGAGAACATCTGCAAAAGACAACTGGGACAACCATACAAATAAGTGAAGAATACACCAATTCCATTTACATTATGAAAATATTTTCTTTTAATTTATCCAAACATTTCACATCCATGAAGTCATCTATTTCAGAGCAAATCTAAACTTTTAATATTAAGTTTTAAAGTGTTACAATATTTAACATTTAACAGATAATCGGCAGGGAAAACATTCTTTACTCCAGCCAAGTAATCCTTTAAGCAGTCAACATTTCTAGTACATAAAAAACGGCACCAACAAACAGAGCTTTGCCTGTGTACCACCCTTACAAAATCTGCTAGGGCATCACTGCTATAGAATTATACCAACAACTTTCCACTAAATGGCCTCTTCCTTGGTGGATATGGAACTCATAATGGTTAACACACAGTTCCTTTGTCCAGACCCAACAAAATACGGGCTCTATAAAAAATCCCTATACTTGGTTACAAACAAGCTATACCATTTTATTTTTTTAAGTTTTATTTAAGTAATCTCTACACACCATGTAGGGCTCAAACTCATGACCCCAAGATCAGGAGTCACATGCTCTACTGATTGAGCCCACCAGGTGCCCTCCATTTTATTATTATCTTTTTTTAAGTTTATTTATTCTGAGAGAGATAGAGAGGAAGAGAGACTCCAAAGCAGGCTCCGCACTGCGGAGCCTGGATGTGGGGGCTTGAAGCCACAAACCATGAGATCATGACCTGAGCTGAAATCAAGAGTCAGACACTCAACTGACTAAGGCATCCAGGCGTCCCCTCCATTTTAAATTAAAGGAAAGAAAGGTATCACATCATTCGATCAAATGCTCTTTGTAGCCTGGAGATAGGCCTAGAAAGTAAAAACCAAGAAGACGCCAAGACACATTTGACATTCAGTGATTCCATTTCAAATGGAATGGTACCTCCTAGTTCTGCAACTCATCCTTATGGGGTGCAAGCCTGGCTTGGCAAAAAGCAGCACACCGGTGGATTCCTGGGCCACAACAGGCCCTGTGAACTCCTGTTTCTAAATTCAGGAAGCGCTAACTATAGTTAATCAGAACAGGTAGTTCATTTTTAAAATTCCCCAGAGAAACAAAACTTACAACCTTATTATATAGTCTTTTGCCTCAAATGTAGTCAGGTATATGGTCCAAAACCTTTAAGTCTGCTTATGTCTCCTTGATCTAAAATGTTCAATCTCATAGTTGTATTATCACCTTAAGTTGTTTGTTTGTTTTTAATCATTTTTCTTGGGCATCTCTTTAGAATACTGAGGTCTAATACCTGTTTGATTCCCCAATTTTTAAATAAATTAAGCTTTTATTCCACTTTATAGGCATCAATCAGGGGACTTGACATGCAGTTAGCTTGAATCTGATTAACAATTAAATCTTGGAACAGGCCTTACATCCATTTTGTTCAAATTACATAAAACCCCTGGAAATTGAAAGGTTCTGTCTTCATACGTGGCAAAGCAGGAAACAGAGGGAGGTTAAAGGACTTGTCAGAATTAGTGACAAATTTGAGGCTAAAAGCCAAGTTTCCAGATGCTCCAAATTCAATGTTCATTCCTCTTGACTAGCTAATTTCCCTGGTGCTTTGGCCTTAAAATTTGAATTTTTGATGCTTATAGAAAAGGCAAAAGAGCCAAAAGCTCTCAAGAGACAATGAGCTGTGCCAAAACACTTTCATCTGGCATCCTTTTTCTAAGAGTACCATGTTTAATTACACTCCCTTCTGAATGGGGTGGCATCTATCCGCCTCAGTGTCCTCCGGGCCTGCCAGCCATAGGTTATCCTATCCTCTTCCCTCGCTTTCTCTCCACATCTGTCTTTAATCTTTGCCGCTACAGCCTCCTCACTGACTTGACAGTTCATTTAACTCCAACGAAACACATCTACAAAATGTCTTTATGTTTACCAGAACATCTGCTGCAAAGCGTCTTCCACAGACTTCACAGGGAAGTAACTCCTGATTGCCATCTGTATAAGATCCAAAAGCACATTATGTTAGTTTCGTGGAACTGCCTGCCCAAGAAGAAATGACTAACTGGAGGGGACCTCAATAGCTTGATCTCCTCACTCTTTTCCCTCCCCACCAACTTCTCTTAGGAAGATATTTCATGAACTCACCCATTTTCCTCTTCTAACAGAGACTTCTCACTTCACTAAACAGGTAAATTCCATATCCTTCAGGCAACCAGAGTACATTTAATATACTCCTAAACTAAGCACCTGATAGCTTTGCTTTAGACTGAAGTACAAAGTTAATACTTTAGTATAAAGTCATAAATTAACTGGGGCACCTGGGTGGCTCAGCTAGTTGAACGTCTGACTGTGGATTTTGGCTCAGGTCAATGATCTCACGGGTTTGTGGGATTAAGCCCTGCACTGGGTTCCATGCTGACAGCACAGAGCCTGCTTGGGATCCTCTCCCTCTCTCCTCTCTGCCCATCCCCTCACTTGTGCGCACGGTCTCTCTCAAAATAAATAAATATTTTTTAAAAGTGATAAATTCTCTAACAGTAACATCTTTGAGATGCCTACTAGAGTGCAACGTCTGTGTGTGTGCTAAATGAAGGCATGGCAATTTATCATAGGTCATATGTAAAAGATCACCTAATAATCAAATTTAAGGTCAACTTTCCTGAGAATGGCTTTCTCTCTCTCAAAGAGTTTTGCGGGAAAAACTCCTACCTGAGAGAGAGTATAAAATACTGATGAAAAGGACCGAGTAGAAAGAACTGAGGAGTTCTATCTAAATCAAGAAAGATGGGACAATTACAGTGGAGAAGCATGTGAGGATAAGCATCATCCTAGGGGTGGTGTTGGTGTCAGACCTCTTACTGAGGTCAGTGAAGAACACTCACTGCTGGCATTTTACATACAGTTGTGAATGAGTGAAGGACTATAATCACAATACGCTCACTACTTGCTATTGTTATTGATGTTCAACTATAGTGTTTTAAAAGTTAAATGAAGAATAAAGTCAAATTAAAAAAAAAAAAAGGCACGAGATTGCACCCACATATGTCCCATGTCTCAAAGTACCTGACCCCATAGTAAGGTGCTTAGTAAATACTTGTTGAATGTATGGGCCAAACAAGAATTGAGTTTCTATCACAAGACCAGTCATTCAATAAATATCTGCTACATGCAACTCTGTAGAAATATTGAGAGAAACCATACATATGTCCGGCACAGAAAAGAATGTGGGCATCAATTACATTAAAGTTAGATAAGTGTCAAAAGAAAAGGAAAACATGGACTTCTGAGAAGATTTTGCTTCATGTTACTTAAAGTTCACCTGGATTGAATACATAAAGATTAGAAAAGCTGATCATGGAGAGGACTTTATATTAGGTTAACAATCTGGGCTTTATCCTACAAACAAGGGGAACAATCGCTGACATGAAGAAGAATCTGAACAGAGCTGTGGAAGGTTCATGTGACAAAGGTGAGGAGGGCCGAATGGACGGTAGTGGGAGGGGAGATGGGATTTCAGTTAAAAAGCTAAAGGTGTAGGCTGGAACTGGAAAGAAAAGAGGAAATGGGAGACACCAGGCTCAAAGAACTGACAACATGACTAGCTGTGGAGGCAGTGGGGAAGTGGCAAAGAGAGAACAGTGCTGAAGGACACAGAACATGGTCGGGCTGTGGACAGAAACAGAATTTGAAAAGAAGGGCCATCTTAGTAAGAAAAATGACCTCAGCTTTGGAAAGACTGAGTTTGAGAGAGTCATCCAGCCAGCAGGATGGAAATGAGGGAGGTCAGGGCTAGAGACACAGATGTAGGCTTTGTTTGGAGAGTGATGTAAAGGCATGATATTGCCAGGGAAGAGGTCATGGAAAGAGAAGTACAGGGATGATCCCTAGGGAACTCCGTATTTAAGGGCCAAGAAGATGAGGATGATAAGCCAGAAGGAGAAACAGGAGAGAACAGGGTCATGGAAACCAAGAAAAGGTTTGAAAAAGGAAGGACTGATTAACAGGAATCAGATGGTAGCTCATTACAGACATTGTTGATTTAAATGATTTCTTCTCACATCTGCCAGATGGTATTGTATTTGCAACACAGGTCATCCATTACAGCATACAGAAATATTACTCTTCCTCTCTGTTCTTTTGGCCTTCTAACTCTGTAAAACTGGGTCTTAAAATTGTGGGTTTTTTTTTTTTTTTCAGCAAGAATATTCCACCCTTCCACACACTTACTAGTGAATAAAAGGTACTCATCTTAATTACAAAACTGCTTTTTCTAAACTGCTAATGAAGGATGATTTTTATGATTATTACTGTGACGTTTGTGTAGTGTTTTCCAGTTTCCCAAGCGCTTTTCCTATGTAATCTCCTTTACTTCTCACAGCAGCCCTGCAAGACAGAGTTGGTACCACCTTTTTTTTTAACAGATAAGAAAACAGAGATTGAAAGTTGGGGGACTTCTCGAGACCACAGGTAGTAAGCAGTAACACTGAGACTCAAAACTTGAGTCTCTGTCTCTACAAGTATTAAGACTATGTATCCAACCATTACCATAAGTGCAGATGTCAGTACTAACCTGCAAAACAAATGGAAGTCCCTGAAGGATAAATAGCCTCTGATTTAAATCCATGAGTTTTAATTAGTTCAATGAGTTTAAAATAATGAGATACAATATTCAACAGAACACCTGGAATACTGCATTCTGAAGCTTGACTATAAGGAAGGGAACACGTGCCTAAGTCACTTAAACCAAACATGGAGATCAATGAGGTCTATAGTACTTGTTCCAGAATGCTGAATCACATAGAATATATGATCACTAGAACCTTAAAATAATTTAAAACAACCAAAAAGCGGGCGCCTGGGTGGCGCAGTCGGCTAAGCGTCCGACTTCAGCCAGGTCACGATCTCGCGGTCCGTGAGTTCGAGCCCCGCGTCGGGCTCTGGGCTGATGGCTCGGAGCCTGGAGCCTGTTTCCGATTCTGTGTCTCCCTCTCTCTCTGCCCCTCCCCCGTTCATGCTCTGTCTCTCTCTGTCCCAAAAATAAATAAACGTTGAAAAAAAAAAATTTAAAACAAAAATAAAAAATAAAAAAAAATAATAAATAAAAAAAAATAAAACAACCAAAAGGCCTTGCAACAGGTGAATGGTTATACTGTTAACATCCAAACCCTGGAATACTGTTCAGCAACAGAACACTATTGATATATGCAACACCTAGATGGATCTCAATGCTGAGAAAAGCCGATCTCAAAAGGTCACATACTGTATGATTTCATTTGTGTAACAATCTCAAAATGACAAAATTATAGAGATGGAAAATAGTGATTGCCAACAAGGAAGGCACGGAGGTGGTTGCGACTATACAGGATACAATGAGGGAGACCTTTGGGTAATGCAATAGTTCTGTAGCTATAATGTGGTTGTGGTTATTATACATGTAACAAAATGGTCTGGAACTATAAATGCACATTGCACCAATGCATGTTTCCTGGTTTTGATATTGTACTATAGTTAGTTAAACTGGACCTTAAACTGGGGAAACTGGGTAAAAGGTGAATGGGATCCTACTATTTTGCAATTCTTGTGCACGAATTTTATTCAAAATAAAAAGTTTAAAAAAACATCTAGGGGTCAGCAAATTGTGGCCAGTAGGCCAAATCTGGCACTGTATGTTTTTGTACATGAAGCTTTATTAGTAAAGAATCACACCCATTTGCTTGTTTATATAATATCTATTGCTGCTTTCACACTACAACAGTAGAGTAGTTGTTAACAGAGACTGTATGGCCTACAAAGTCAAAACTTATACTAAAAAATAGGTTGCCAATCAGTGAATGAGAATATAGTGATTAAAAACGATCTGTGGGAGAATAACATGGAAAATGTTAATGATACATTTTTATTCATATATTTACAAATAAAGACTGGAAACAGATCATTACATGTATAGATACACACACACACACACACACATATATATGTGATACACACACCTAAGTGATAATAAAGGTGCACGTTTAGTTTCCTGCATTTTCAATTTTTCTACAAAGAATACTCATTATTGTTTTAAAAATTAAAACACTGACATTTTTAAAAAGAACCATTTGATAGGAAATATTCTAAAACAGTAAGTACCAACTTAGCTATTTGTCTTTACCCTAAGAGGAGTATTACTTAGTAGACTATTAAAGTGGCCACTGTTTTTACACATTGGCTATTATTTTTATACATTGGTTCAAAATCTTAAGACAATTTTTTAAATAAGGAAAATAAAGTGATCTGGAAGCCATCAACAGTTTTGTTTAGCATGTTAACAATGAAAAATAAGCATCACAAAGATCTCGGTTCAAAAATTTTATGAGAAGCCTGGAGAGGATTATGGCTGTAATGAAATTGGAAAAAATTTTACTTCTGACTAGACCTACTATTTCTGAGCTGGAAGTTAAGAATGCTCTGTACAGACACCTACCAATCCACACTTCCTTACAAAGGCATGGTAGAAAAAAGAAAAGGAAGATATTTTCTCATTCAGTTGTCAGCGAATCAAAAAACTCTCATGTTGTCCTTTGCAGTCCAGAACATACAACTACTACCAATATCAACATCTTCCATGGCCCTATGGTGAAGGGGGTAACAACTTATTAACTTATCTCAGGAACATGAGTTCTGAAAGAAAAAAGAGGAATTAAGACAGGATGGCAGAGAGAACACCCAAATCAGTTTTTGCTTTCCCCCCAAGTCCCCAAAAAACTGCAGTAAAGGAAAAGAGACAAAAAGAGCCACAGGTCATGGAGGAAGGAAGACAATAAAAAAATTGGACTCTGGAAAACTGATAGACATAAGTGACCCAGAAGACTTAAAACTACATCAACATCCACTTCCCAACCAACACTGCAGAACCCTTCAAAGTTGTAGGAATCCCCAGAGCAGCAAGTATCTCTGGAATTAGGATGAGATAAATGAGGTAGAGCCTGCTAAAATATGGAGGGCCAAGATGAAAGAGTTCTGAAAAGAGTGGATTCCTAGACGCGCCCCCCCCCCCCCCCGCGCTCCATACCTTCTGGGTGACTGCCCTCTCCAACTGTAGCCTGTCTACTCTCCCAAAAGGATTGAAAGAGGAGGTCTGCCTACCCATGTCTTCAGCAGCGCCTCATGTTGCCTGATTATTTGTGGTAGTTACATTCTATAAAGTCTCTGTGAGCACTGAATGGGCAAATACAGACTTACTACTTCTAGGGGAAATACAGTGTCAAGGTCCTGTGAGCCTCTGGTCACCCTATTTTTATCAACCTATCAACCTATTTAAAGACACCTTGTATAAATATATATTGTTGATTCAGTAACCATGAACACGAATAGCCAGCAATGCTATAACTCATGCCTGGATGAAGCTTATCTAACAGACATAGTTTCTCCATAAGGCACATCACAGACTTCCTGTACTCAGAAACACTAGAGTACATTTCAACACTGTGTTTGGGGGTCATTTTGTACAGCAAAATCACCAAGAAAAATTGCAAAAATATGAAAAATGTGGCACAGACTGTGAAAAGGACACTTGTTTACAGGATGAGAGCTGAAACAAGAAGTCAGGGCATCACTTTGTTCTAATTTTGCTGGGAACATGCATGTCGGGTGACTCACCTTTTTTTCTTTTAAATATCTGTATTTGAGAGAGCACTGGCAGAGGAGGGGCAGAGAGAGAAAGAGAGAGAAAGAGAGAGAAAGAGAAAGAGAGAGGGTGGGTGGGTGGGTGACACAGGATCCGAAGCAGGCTCTGCATGGACAGTAGATAGCCACAAGCAGGCTTGAACCCACAAACCACAAGATCATGACCTGAGCAAAAGCTGGGCACTTAACCTTAGACTGAGCCACCCAGGTGCCCTGTGACTCAACTTTTTAACTGCTATGTGCAGGTCTGCAAATGACCATGAAAGCACCACAATATTGTTTCTAGGTTTTCAAATTTTAGCAAGTAGGCAAATTTGCAAATAGGGACTCGATTAATCAAGGTTGATGACATATGTGTGCATATATGATGATTAACCTAGTGATTACTTTCATGAATAGTGATGCTGAAAGCAGAGAATACTCCAAATCCCCTTCCTCTACTGGCTCATAGAACTCTGCCTACCAGACTTACTCTCAAGGCAGAATGAAAACTTCCCTGAGAATATAACCATTCCATGACAAAATACTTAAAGATACCCACACTGGAAAGATACCCAAAGAGCTCACTCAGACTACAATAAAGCTCAAAATTATCAAATGTCACTTATCCATTCAGAATTTCCAGTGTCACCTTTCTCTAGTCTTAATGAGCCGACAAGAATTTCCAGAGATCTGAAGAAAAACTCTAGCATGTAAGCCCAAAACAAATAAAAAAGCAATCTAAATAAAAACTAAAACTCTTAGAAATTGAAAGTCTTCTAGGAAAAATGAAAAACTCAACAAAGTTTGGAAGATACACTTAGGGAAATCTTTCAGAAAGTAGAGTAAAACGGCACAGAGATGGGAGAGAAACAAGCAATTTGAGTACCTCTGGTCCAGCAGGTCCTACTCCAAATAACAATTCAAGAGAAAAAAAGGAGAAAACACAAGGAAGAAAATAAAAAACTTGAACGATTTCCAGAAGTGAAAGGACATGAGCCTCCATTGAAAAGACACCACACAATAGATGAAAATACATCTGTAACATCGTGAAACTTCAGAATGCTAGAGACAGAATTCTACGGAGATGAAAAAAATAACAACATACAAAATATTAGGAACCAGAATGGCTTCAGATTCCCATATAGTAAATTTATAAAATGGGGGGGGGGGGGGAAACCTCTAAACTTCAGAGGGAAAATAATCTACAACCTATAATTTCATACCCAGCCGAGCTATTTATCAAATATGAGACTTGAGTGTATTTTTCAACATGCAGGGTTTCAAGAAGTTGACTTCCCACATACCCTGTCTCAAGAATTACTGGAGGATGTGCTCCACAATGTGAGTAAAACATACAGCAAATAGGCAATTCAACACAAGAGGGAAAGTAACTCCCAAGATAACAGCTGGAAAAACTAGAAGGCAACCAGTCCATATCTGAAGGCGTGTAATGAAAAACTGCCAGGTTGAAGGCTGCTGTGAGCAAGATATTCATTGCCTTTTAATGGGAGGACAGGATGTCCTAGTGTATCTGGCTCCCATTCTGTTCTATACTTGGCTTATTTGACCATGTCCCATTGGAGTGCTTGTTCTTCCCTTCCCATTCTGACATCTACATGAGCTGAGGACACCCATTTCACTCCACAGGAAGGTTCTGCATTGATCTTTAGATCACGGTGACCTTAGAAGCAGAAAATATAAAATGAGCATTCAGCCATGAAGCATATTTATGCAGGAGATCCAAGATGTTTCAACTGAGGGGACTTGTGTTCCCTAGGATTCACTCATCATCTGGTTCAGTGACATCTCCACCTGGGGCTCTTGTAAATTCTAGATGTGGAACTCAGGCTCAGAGACCATTCAGCTCAAGCATGCCTTCATCAACTGGTAGTAACTACTACCCTCATAAAGCCAGATTAGTGTTTCAAAACTACACTACACAAGATATTGTATTTAGGAATACCATACAGGTGATGATTAATATAATCTAGACAGTACTTAAGAGTTCCTGAGGGGAAAGAGTGGAATGAAATTGAGGATGGAACCACAGGTGGCTATGTTCTAGTTCTTAAAAAAAAAAAAAAAAAAAAGGCCGTTAGAATTTTTACCTTATCCTGATTCTTCATTGTAACAACCAAGGTGGATAAAACATACTAATCAATGCGCAAGAAAAAGCGACATAAATGTACTGATAATAGTAAAGTTACAAGCTGGCTGGAGCTGTCTGTCCTTTACCTGAGATGATTTGATGACATCACAATGGAGGTATGGATACAATGGGCCACACAACAATATACACAAGTGGTAATAGCTCTTGATACTTAAACTTGTAAATCAACAGTTTTGAAGTATCTGAAAGTGACTTTATAACAAGTAAAAAGTAAGCTCATACAAAATAGGGGCTTCCAGTACAGCAGGCAAATTCTTCATGACTTTGCCCTCTACCTGGGATGCCTCAGGCCTTTTTTCTCCTAGCTAACCTGGAGGCTTAGGTCCTAGCGTTCCTTCCAAGTTTAAGCAGTGGTGAAATGTCTTCCCTATCCATTCATTTATATACTCCTTAGTGAACATTTATCAAATGCCACAAGTTGTTTTAGACCATGCAGATAAAGCAGCAAAAATTCCCTGCCATAGTGAGAGAATGAAAAACAAGATGCCAACACATGCTATGGAGACCATAAAGCAGGGAAGGAGCGTAAAAAATGCAGGGGAGGGATGTTGCTATTTTTAAATACAGTCAGGTGAAAGCTTATAGTTGGAGGTGACAACTGAAAACCAACCTTAAGTAAGCTTTATTTGAGGTAAGCCCTTCAAGGGGAACAGCAAGTACCAAGATCCCCATTTCAAGTGGTACTTATCAGTGACTTCGTGTGGTCAGATTCTGCTGCACACCCTGCCTCCACAGATAATGTGGTCTCTGAAGGCAAAAGCCCCCTTATCGCTCTGGACTCAACATTCACAAGGACCTTCTGTTAAGTTCCCAACCATTGTTTATAAATAACTCAAATAATAAATACTCCAAAATTTTACACAATAACCCAAAATATGTAAATTTTGCTCTCTAGAATAGAAAGATGATCTTTACATTTGGAGGATAACCAGCCTAAGTCACAATAATACGTCAGCAAGATTCATGGCTTGTAGTCACCTTTCCTTGACTGCAAAATATAACATGTGCTGATTTAAATGTGTTGAATCAAGTGAAGTGATATGAGAAGCTCCTAAGGTGGGGCACCTGGGTGGCTCAGTGGGTTAAGTATCTGACTCTTGGTTTCGACTCAGGTCATGATCTCACAGTTGAGTTCAAGCCCCGCATCAGGCTCTTCACTGGCAGCGGAGAGTCTGCTGGGATGCATTCTCTGTCTCCCTCTCTCTCTGCCCCTCCCCTGCTCTTGTTCTCTATCCCTCTCAAACTTAAAAAAAAAAAAAAAAAAAAAAATATATATATATATATAGTAAAAAAAGAGGCTCCTTAGGAATCTGAATAATACCAAGTCAAAATAATATTCCAAGTCTAAGATTCTTGATGGTTTGCTGGTTTTAATACCTTCAACTGAGATAGCTACCAAAATAAACGGTCAATCTTGTCAGGATTTAATACATTCACAGAGTTATTAACATAAACCATCACTTGACCTTGTGCTTCTGCAGACTGACACTTAAACATACACTCCCCAGTCAGAGTCTATTTCTATAAAGACAAGCTCTTCTGCTGAGTATCAGTGCTGGTTGAGTACCTAATGCTACTGGTTTTCACAGCTCTTAAAAATCCTTGAGTACCCAGATTTACAATTTAAAACAAACAGAACAAAATAACACCCACCAAGTTTGGAAACGTTGTAATCAAATGAATTATAGAAAAGCCTTTCTAATAATTTAGTTACCAAATGCAGCTCACCGGCTAAAAATGCTTCTGTCTCAGCCATTCTGTTCCCAACTCAGACCAACAGTGTCCACGGATTTTTTTTTTTTTTTTTCCCAGAACAGTCCAGATAACACATTAGTCATGGACACAGGAACAAGGGTCACTAACAACTCATCTGTTGCAAGGAAGTCACAGTTTACCAAATAATTAACAATTGTGATGGTGTCATTGCTTGAGCCTTGAAGAGGTTTTACAGGGGAAAAAACCGAAAAAACAAAAAACAAAAAACAAAAACCTCACCAAAAAAACAAGGAAGTTTTCAACTATGTCTTTTAATCAAATATGAACGATTCCAAGCATTAAATAATGTTTGAAAGACAAACTTTCTAGTTTTAACTGAAGTAAATATTTCTGATTTTGAGCCAGGTACTTACTGAAGCCAAGGAAGTTTTCTTGATTATTTCTTCTTCTGCTTCCTGTCTTCACTGTTCCTAAATTCCAAAAGTCAGTCATCCAGTAATTGAGTCCCAACAACCTTAATATTCAGTTTTACCATCCTTTTGAAATAGGCCTTTGCATACAGCAGGGGAAACTTAGTTTCTTACCAGTGGAATCTTCTCAGGAAAACTCTTACCACTTAGCATTTCAAAATGGGGTTTATTGGGGTCACTTTTCTACATACAGCAAATTAAACCACTTAACTCCTGAAAAGGAGTGGAGAGGTTTCAAAGAAATATGAGAACATCTGCAAAAGACAGCTGGGACAATCATACAAATAAATGAAGAATACACCAATTCCATTTACATTATGAAGATGTTTTCCTTCAACTCATCCAAACATTTCACATTTGTGACATCATTTATTTCAGAGCATATTCTACGTTTATAATATTTTTTAAATGTTACAATATTTACAAGACAGATGGCACAGAAAACTTGGTAGTATAAATACCTGCTAGTAAAAATGGCAGATTACATAGTTTTGTCTCTCTGAAGATCCTTGTACGTTACTGAACATAACAAAGAACCCCAATGGGGAAGGCACCTTTTCCTAAATGTTCTACTGTCATAGCTTGAGACCCTCAACATTATTCTTCAAGTTCAACAACTCCTTTTCCTGCCTTCTTTTCTCCAGTTTGAAGGCTAATTTGTTAGCTTTCTTCTCCACTCTCCGTTCCTGTATAAGAATACATTAGTGTTATTCAAATCTTCAAACAAACGCAGACTAATTTTACAAAAGAAAATCTCTATGACCACTGCCCCCATAAGCTCTTTGTAAATCTTCCATTTGAGAAAAGTACTTCACCTTGCGTTCCTCTTTTATAGCTTGCTTTCTCGTTCTTTTATCTTCTTTGCTTTCGTTTTTAGATCGAGGTTGGGTTGACACCTTTGGCAGATCACTGCCATTAATCATCTGCATTCTTTCAACTTGCTTTGCTGTGAGTCCTTTCTTAGGTAAGACATTGAGAGGTATTCCTGTTTTAGAAGATATTTGGATTTGTTTGGGCTGAAATAAAAACAAAAATCATACTAAGGTCATTTCCCATTCCTATTAAAAAAGAGCTCACACACATACACACAGCTCACTAATGACATATCATGTGTTGCTCTTCCCAATAGTGTTTCCAGCCACAAAAGGATACAGCTACCGTGAAAAAATGATTCATCCACTGTTTTCTGCATTGCATACTTCAAGTAGCTCAGGACACCAAGACTTACCTTTGGTTGATACTTGATAATTTGCGGATGGTTATATAAATTGGAGTATGTACCTTTAAAAAAAAACAAATAAACACGTATCGATACAACCACTTTCAATTCAGAAAACATTACTGAGTTCCTACTATCTTCCCAACTTTGATCTTTTCATACTTTAATGAAGTCTCTGTTATAGCATGGGGGCCAAAATGGCAGTCTCTCTTATTACAGATGTTTTGAAATTTTTTGCAACTTAGTAACAGGAATATTACTTTTTCTAAATCATTTTCACAGAAAACATACTTTTTCAAAATACTGATGTATTTAATACTTTAAAATCACTACCATACCTTTATCAGTAAAAAAGACACCAAAATACTTACTACAAATAGATTCACAATCCCACTTCTCTTTAGCTTCTTCAAGAACTACAGTAACAATCTCTTCTTCCTCAGACCCATCCAGTTCATTCATTAGCAGGTCCTGATCCTCAAAGGGTTCCAGAGCATTCAGTTTTACACAACTTTTGATTGAGTTTTTGAAAAAGGCAGCAAAAGAGGGAAAAACAAAAGACCACCCATTATTATACTGTATGTTACTAAAACTGGTATGGATGTTTGACGAGCTATGGAAACAAGAGTATTTCAAAATTGTGTGTGTGTGTGTACCTTTATTTTGAAAGACAGAGTGAGAGCGGGGAAGGGGCAGAGAGAGGGGGAGATAGGCTCTGAAGCAGGCTCCAGGCTCTGAGCTGTCAACAGAGAGCTCTACGCGGGGCTCGAACACACAAACTGTGAGATCATGACCTGAGCCGAAGTTGGACGTCCAACCGACTGAGCCACCCAGGCGCCCCAGAAACAATAGCATTTCAAAAAAATCCCAGCTCTCCCCAGCCCCAATGTTCATTCCACTGAGAGAAAAGAGATCTCTGCAAGGTTACAATAAACAAGATGGCAGCTTTCCTAAAACATGGTCTTCTTAAAGCCTCGAAAAGTTATTACCCAATCTGTCTCTCCAAAGTGATCAAACAATTCACTCATTATATGTAGCCCTTGTTCCACTGTAGGATCTGCAAGTGATAGTGATCACGGAAAAGGAGACCCTTCCAGCAGACGTAAACACTTCATTAGTTTCTCGCAGAAAAATCACCTCAATATGGATGTTGATTTGCCAAATATTTGGCCATAAAGTTATACTAATATGGCTGGAGAGACAAATTCTTATTTTTCTATGAGCCATAAAAATCAACTTCTCAGAATGCCTGGCATTTCAGAAAGATGAGAAGAGCATATATAATCAGAAGTCAGAATTCTTCAGCCAAGGAGGCTAAAAGCACCACCTTATTCTCCAAGTGGAATGTGATCTTCCACCTCCCCACTCTAACCCTCAAGCCCTTCAATTGTTGACTCTCAGGTCAGAGCCATAAAGAAAGTGGTTCTCAGTATGTTCCCACCCAAAGTTACAGTCAGCTTCTGAACCTCAGTATCAAAATGTGAGTCAACACTGAAGGAAACATACCATTTTCTCAATATAGATTCTGACTGGGTGATTTTCTAGATTCAGATGTTGAACTAAAAACTTTATTTGAAAATGAAAAAAAGAAAAGTCACCCTGCTTGTCATGCCTCCGAGCTCCATACCAACTTCAGGTATGAAGTCTCCTCGTTCATTAACACTTTGTTTCTCTCAATAAAATAATCCTATCAAGTAAAGCTCTCAGAATGTTCTTTTGACATGGGCAGTGTTCCCCATAACCAAGATGCTCCTTTCATTCTTGTATCCTCTCAACTATGGACTTAGAACTCTGGTCCTCTGGTACCCAATATCTAATCATCACCCTTCCTTCTATAAAAATTAGAAATAAAGACAGAAAGAATCCTTACCTACTCACTCTCTAGAGAAATTCAGCTTTATTGAATCCAATAGATTTCCTCAATTTGAAAATAATGTTTTCAGAAATCTAAAGACCATCTCTCTCAAGGATCTGACCCTTGCAAAACAATTATACTTTGGTTTTCATCTTTTATCTCTGCTATGGTTTTTAAAAACTTTTTGGAACTAAGAGCTAGAAAATACTATTTTGTCTTGAGCTGAGTCTACCCTCCATTTGAGACAATAAACACTATTTTAATGATGGATGGAAATCCATTAAGACCGTAAGAAAACATGCAGAAAAATGAAAGTGGAAAAAAAAGTAAGTGAACAAGGAAGAGGCACGTACTTCTCTGCCTTCTCTTTATAGTAGTCATTCAAGACTTCCTCTAAGCGATTGCTGTCTACTTGAATGGAACCTTCCAATTCAGCATTATCCAGAGCTCCAATTTCATCATCGTCATACTGCTCATAAAACTTGTATATAAAGAGAAAAGATACCATGAAAAAAAATGTTTTAAAACTACAGCATTTAAAATGTTACTTTTTTTTTTTTTAAGTTTTTTTAAAGGTAATCTCTACACCCAAGGTGGGACCTGAACTCGCAACCCTGAGATCATGAGTCGCAGGCTCCACCAACTCAATCAGCTACGCACCCTGGTTTTTACATTAATTTCCTTTCTACACAATTACTTAAGCACTACCATGAGATCACAAGCACCATTACAATGGTATGTGGAAGACATTCTACCCAGTACTTTAAGACTTACATTTAGATGGAAAATAGGCTGCCATTTAATGAAAGTGAAAGATGATCACTCTGTCCAGCTTAGAGAACAATGCTAGGTAGAAATCTTTACTTCAGGCTCTACAGATGCTTTCAAATTCAGTGATTATGCAGACTTTAAGGGGGCTTAGTTACAAATTTCATTCTTGTTTAGATGTTTACTGTATTATTCAAACTCTGTTAAGAGTAAATGGGATGATGTGAATCCTGAAGAGTGAGGTTATCTGTAGTAACAGTTCACCTACTGGTACTTAGTGAAAAGGTAGCAAAGTTAGAACCTTTAAGATTCACTCTAAAGGAAACCAACCATCCACCCATTCATCATTTGCTGAACAGTCTGAATTCCTACCATATGCCAGATACCACATTAGACTTGGGGCTATATCAGTGAACAAACATACACAAAAAAACAGAAAAGTAATGGAATTTTGTTTATGCTTAGGCCAATGCTTGAGGAAAACAGCATAATCTTGGGGATTGGAGTCAGACTCTCATTATCAAAATATCAAACCTCTAAGGAAAGTCAGGAAGTTCTATCAGCTGTCTCAGATCTATATGCATTCTTTCCAGAATTAAAACTAGGATGGTTTTGTGATCTGTTTTAATAAGACAGGCGATTTCTAATGTTGAAAGTTTTAGCTTTGAGTTCCGATGTCATAAGAAATTTACCAGGAACCAGTATCAAAAGGTTCCTTATCTGGGAACCTTACCTTCTCAAATCTCTCATCATGAAGAGTCAGCTGTTCATTTCTTCTCATCACTGAGGATGTTATAGAATACTCAGTAAAGCGACTTTTAGTTTCCTCTTCCCAGAACAAATGATTTTCTACAGCCCCAGGAGGTTTTCCAGGGACAGACATGGCCTCATCTGA